AGTTATCATAAATCCTGTTTTTTGATGTTAATAAATGAGGGGTGTGCGATAGACTTACTTCCACGTGGTGCACCCTGGGCAACGTATACTCATACGGTAAAAAAGTCTATTAACTGGCAGTTGACTTCTGACTCCAAACTACCATCACCCCACTATATGTCATATTCGACACCTTTCACAGTACTTACCTCACCTTTTTCACTCTACCTTTGTGTCTGTCTCCTTTACTTCTTTGAGCAATCTTCTGTTCACCCCCCCCCCTTCTCGACTTTTTTCACTTTGATGTTCTTCACCCTCTGTGAATCCTGAAGTCAACTAAAGGGCTAATGATAACTATCAAACGCCTGACATTTGATATAAATAAATAAATGTTAATAAATGAATATTCCTTTCTTTTGATGGGAACTAATTTGCCAATTTAAGTGCATAGTTATATCTACTTCTTTCAACTACGTTTAAGGCTATGTTAATATTGATTCCACTTCGGTATGCTGGTTCACACATGCGCGTGGGTTACTCAAAATACAGTGAAAACACCATGAAAATAAGCCTCAAACGAGTTTCAGACCTCCCGCTATGTCGATTACTACTATTTTTCACCATATTATTCTTATTCAGTGATCTTAAGCAATATTAGTTTAAGAAAATCTTGTAGAGTGCTAGTTAAATAAGGAAGTAAGGATTCGGATCAAAAAAACAAAGTAGACTCACGCGTTAAGGCGTTTCGCAAATTCAGACGTTAAAGATTCCTGCTTAATTTCAACTTCATTCAAGTTTGTTCTAATCGTCACAATGATTTCTCTTAGTTGAAAAATCACTCCTCGAACGAATTCACAACAGCCCTCTGTGCTTGTAAAAGCTTCAAACACACATTCGGCTTCGCAACCATCCAATTCCCTTTCCAAATGACAAATCTCCCACCGACTTAGCGTACTCTTTGCTGATTGCTCAAGAATGTCTACAAAATTGGCAATTAGACGCTATCAATCCAAAATTCATATTTTACTTGTTAGTCTGGATGCCAGTGACTGCAGACCCGAATGTTCACACACCAAACGCGAGCGAATTATCAGGAGTTTGTAAGCATTTAAAGCGTGCTCATAAAGGAGTCTCAAATTGTTGTAATTTCGCTGAGAAATCCCGAGTCTCTCACATACCTCTTCATTCAGTATGCATGAAATCCACGCACCGTTGGACTAGAAACGAAAAGTTTCAAGGTATCTTTTTGAACTTACCTTTAGAAAATTGGCGTTTTCAGATAGGTCGGCACTTATTTGCTTCAAATTGCCATTTCCTCTACTCGTAGAATTTTTATTTGATGAGATCTTTGTCACACATTCGTTGAAACTTTCAATGAAGTTTGGCAGGACATTATTTAAATTAAAGTGAATTCGCTCATCGGTTGGGCGATCTTCTAACTGAAATTTATATTAAAAACTCAAAATATTGTTTGGTTTAGTTAAAAATTTGATTAGGGAACTACCTTTTCATTGATTTCCCTTTCTATACATCTGTTCAGGCATAACTGCGCTTCTGAAATCGATGGCTTGAGGTCAATATGCGATTGGTCAATCCCCAATAAGCAAGTCAACGCTGATTGGATATTTGTAAGCTGACTAATAGTCTCACGCGCTTGTTGTAGAAGGAAATGATCGTCTTTTGATTGGTTATTCATCCAAGAGGTTAATTTGGGAATTTTGTTCTTGACCAATTGCAATAGTTGTGGATTATCTACCATTCTGTGCACGCTTACCTGAGAGCCGAATTAAAAAATCATGTGCTAATCATGACTAATTCGGTTCAAATTAAAGATAATGGGAAAATGGGAATTCTAAGGATGTTACTCATAAATTCGGATATCTCTAACGCCTTGACTCATCTTGTTTCAATTTTCGTGCTCAGAATTTTCGATGAATTTTGTTATCGGGTGATAAAATGTCTCATAAAACTTATTTCGTGGCAATAGTTGCGTGTACCAATTGTGGGAAATAAGCTGCATGCATGACACTAATGTATGAGAATTAGACGATATTGGCATCGTTTTTTTGAGATAAAAATTCCTATCTAAATAATAGACAAAGGAAGAGAAGACAACAAACTAGACGACTGAGAGTAGAGCAGTGCCAACTTTCTTGAAGTATAGTCGATTTAATGTGCCTTTGGATTTCCGTCTCCATTAACCTAGTCAACATATACCATTTGCCTCTCTCTCTCCAGAGTAAAAAATGTCATATTTTTGGTTATCGGAATAAACACCGAGCTATTGGCTTCCTCCAATTTCTATACGAATATCTTGATAACAGCATTGATATCTCCAAAACAAACTATCGCCTAGCCCAGGTGATCGGATCGATTTGCTCACATTGCAGGTAGTGATTATCGAACTGACAACACAGTAATTAAATTCTCATGGATAAATAAAGCATGCAAGCAACGGTGGAACTGTTAGCTCGATTTAAGTAAATAAAATAAATTGATAAGGCCTTGGAATTGTTAGCTCCTACCAAAATCTCATTAACATTATTGCGCATTATGGTTTTAGTTATTATTACCAATTTGCGTGCTTTTATTGTACCACGGGGCTTAAAACTGGCTCAACATTAATGACTGTTTTTGTAGATTGAATCCTATGCTAAAATGCGTGTTTTTAAATACGATTTCAATAAATTTAAAATTATTAATGATATTGTAAGCAAGATTGTTATCACAGCACTGGTAGTGCTGGTGCACGCAGGTAGCACTTTAGACAACTACTTCTGGGTGTGTGTGTACGCAATCAATAAATAGTTAAACAAGCGAAAACGTGAATCTAACAATTCAGGGCGCTGAATCATCTGCGAAAACACGACAACTCCACATGTTTCAACGAGCTGGCATGACCGCCAGCCAAAAGGAAAAAGGTAATTGGAAAACTCGCTCCACTTACCATTTCACCAATTTCAAGAAGGCAGGTTAGAATTGCCAGAAGTTTCTCCAATAGTGACAGAGGCCGATTGGTTTCATTGTTTTGAAATTCCTATAATGATACAAATAAATAAATAAATAAATATTTCAATGCAATTGAATGATAATAGGGAAGATGTTGAGTAACGTCAGCGAATGCCTTCTATTGAGCCCAAAGTCGTTAGAAAATCATAATAAAAAGTGGGGAATGGATAACTCTGTAGTGAAGAAGAAAATGTATGCTGTCGTCAAAACTTCAAGTAGATTGATTGTTTGGATGGACTCAACTCAAGCAAGAGTCGGTTTCAAGCCCAGAGGACACAAGGAATTTTCCCACAAAGGGAGAGAGAGAGGGGGAGAGAGAAAAGTTGAGCGGACAAGGAAAAATCAATCTTAAGAAGCCCCCCCCCCCTCCCCCACCCCCACTGTCCGAAAGACGGTGTACCATCTAGTCGTCTAGACGTCTAAATATTATGCTTTTAAAGTCAACTTTTTTTAATTTCGAAACGGTAGACTTGTCAATAACGTGGCATGCAGACCAATTTTAGGACAAGCTGTCCATCACAGCGCATGTCCTTTTAGGCAAGCGTAAACCCCCACAAACCTCTTGATTTGGTTAGATCTAACCTTAGAGTGCCTATTTGTTACCATTAGGTTCATCGCATGGCATACTTAGTCAGACGAGATTATACGTCTGCCGGTTTAAAATCACATAGTCCACTGATTTACCGTAGATTTGGCAGATATTTTTATGAATTGGCACCAAATTTGGCCACGAACCTGGTCCATTGAAGATATCGGTCTGAACTGATCCTAATTCTGTTCTGTGTTCTTACATACATGAGCGGAAATGCAAGAAATCGTTTCCAACTGATTTGTCTTAAGTTTGTAAAACATCAGACGGGCCTGGTTAATTGACACGCACCATCCACACCCTCCTCCAATTTGGACGCTTTTAATTAACCCTTTTTTTAAAATTCTCTGCCCATTCGATTTAAATTTTTACTCTTCGATTATTTTTTCTGTGAATTGCCTTCTGTTTCACCAATAAATTTTGCTTATTTCATATTAAATTTAAATTCAAAACCAAATTTTTCGTATTTCATCAAACATCATCACCAAATTGCGTGTTATTTAGCACTATTTACGTCTCTAAAGTCAATATGTCGACTATGTAGGTGTCATTAAAATACTAGTAAACACCACATTTGTATCGGTTATGCTCCCCTCAAAATACTGATATTCCACCAAAAATTTAAAAGAGTGAACAACTAATGATTGTGTATGATTCAAGAAAAAAAGAATTCACCCCTTCAAAATTCCTCATTTCCTCCAACTGCATTTCAATTCTGTGTCGTTGAGCTTCGATAGTCCTATCGCGAGTTGGACTGCCAGCATCCGATTCGTTTACAATAATCCAAACCACTCGATTGAAAAGATCTTCAATTTCAACCAGAGTTTCGGAAAGATCAGTGTCATGTTTTCCTGTCTCATCGTCTACCATGTTTCCTGGAAATTCGAGGTCTCCTCCTCCTACCTCCTCAAGGCATTCATCTTCATGGAGGGATTCTGTGCTCTATAGATAAATTAATGATTACGCATGAGTCAGATTAGCATATGCGAGCAATTTTAATCTAATGTTTGAGTGGTTAATAATTTATGTATTTACAGGTAATATTATTATTATTATTAATATTTACAGGTATTATATCACAATTTTTGGACATTATAACATCCATGATGTGTTTTTTAGCATTCATTGGCATAAAGCATATAGAGAAGAAAATTAAGAACTCTAAGATCATTTTTAATTTGTTTACAATTTTAGTGTTGCAGTGAAAGCAACTGAACTCCAAGGTGGCATAAAAGGCGCTTGAAGGAAAAGAGGTTGAGTGAGAGCTTTCAATTGAAGTACCACTTCATCGAGTTACTTGTAATTTACAAAATATTCACAGTGCACCAAGTCATGACCTAATGCTTCAAAGGTAAAATGTCACGTTTTAGCCCTCCCCCCCCCGGGCAGGATTGTAGGACAATTTTGTGTCCGAGGTGTTCTTGCCGTATTGCCCACTTGTCTTCATTCATAAGTCAAGGCCATCTCTGATAAATTTTTTCGCTTGTTTAAGTGAAATGAACAAAGAGTGATTCAAGTTATGGCATATATAAAGATAATCGATTTAAGGGGTGGGCTTTAATTTAATTCCATTTCATTTACCTAAAGCTAATCACATTAAAATTCTTCATTAGAGTGAAATTAGATATTGGCCAACCACATTGCGGGATAAAGGAGGAGGAACGTAGAAGCCTCATTAATACTCCTCCATTAGGACAGTTGTGGCTTGAAATGGTGAAAAAATGAGCACAATGAGTTGCCAATTGCCGTAGCGACATGAAAAAAGGAAGAATGGGGACTGTGCATTGCATAATCGTCTAAAACTCAATCGCCGTGCCAAGAAAATTGCGACGAAGCAAAGTAAGCCTCCCACACACGTGAACACACCATCTGACTATCTCCCACAGCGAAATTACAGTTCACTGCAGACAAATCGAACGACGATTTTTAAATTATACCTTTAGCAACGCCATAGCAACGCATACTTTTAAACAATAGCCGACACTGCTTTATTATAATCTATTTTGTTATTGTTAGTAAAATATACCTACCAATTAAACGGCTTTTAAAAGTAATTATAAACCTTCCATCTTATTCGGAATAAAAAATTATTTTAACTGTTTTAACCTTGACAAAATGTGAAAAAATTATATACGTTGTTACGAGGAGTAAATTGGGGTTCGGCAATTCATAATTAATACCCCAGTGGTTTAAGGTGCGTTAGTTTTCTATCTCTATTCAGGAAGATGAGAACCACACGAAAGGAATGCGGTCTGAAATTATTTATGCTTGAGGGTGACGTTTATCGTTTATGTAGACTTTGAAATCACAAAATGGTCTTTAACTCGATCGATAATCTTACCTCCACACAAGAGTAAGTCTGGCAGGTTTTAATGGGCTCGTAAGGACAGGGAAAGGGTCTGTCACTCTGGGGATTGACAACAAAAACTCTTCCTGACTTCGAATTTGTCAGCTGAACTGATTCGCCGTTGGATAGTTTGGAGGGTCGAGAGAGCACAACAGCAACGTCATCACGAATGGAAAAGTCCACAGGAACTAGGAAACAATCATTGTCGATAATATGAGGTTTGGATGACTCTATTTCCAGACCAGACACCCAACCAAAGAATGTACTTCCGAGAAGCGGTTGGGAGGGATTTCTTACGTCTACAATCTCCTTATCTCCAGATGGAGTTTTCACTACTGCTGGTCGATTACTATCAAGCCAAAGAATTTGGCACTGTCGCTCAGGACTTCGGGTTTCGATACAAATCAACTGATCCCGTTGGGAAGGCGTAATTCGTATTCCGTTGACAGAACATTCTTCTCCCCAACTGAAAATATTAAGTTGACCAAGAAATCTGGTATTGAAAGGAAGTAAGGATTGCTTTCCAGAAACTATTTCTACACCATATGGAAGGCTTATCCACACGTGTCTGGGGGAAGTGGACGGGGAAAAATCAAATTTCCACCATTGAAGGTCGGGGATGCTACGGGAAAGGGGTATAAAGTAAGATTCCACACTGTCCACAGACTGTGGCTTCTGCATATCGACAATAGTTCTATGTTAGGTATACTTCCGATGTCGACTCATATAGTTGTAATAATGTTAGCATGTGTATTTGGCAAAAGCGCGCGAAGCATGTAGGGATCGTGTGCGAAACGTGCGCAGCGTTGTTATGACTACTAAGGTTAGATGGCTTTTCAGTCATCTGATTGGTCGCTGCGTCTGCGTAAACATAACCGGCCAGTACGCTTGTGTTCAATATCGTATTGTGATTGGTAAGCTTCACTGCAAGTGTGTCGAATTAACAGTCCGGCTGAGGCTAGCAGAAAAACAATTATTAGGGCCAATGGGCTGACAACACTAATTTGTGTTCGGTGATGTCGTCACCGTACACAAACAAAACTGGTATGGTATTAACTTTATTTTAACAATTGACCCTATTAGTGATCACAAAATCAAGTATGACTATAATTTCGCGCTCTTACTAAGCGTCAGCTTTTTATGCTAACTTTCTATGCTGTTACGGTAATCTTTAAATTATGCTTTTCAATGCTGCCGTTTGTGGGACAGAGTACCTACTTTTGTCTTAAATTTAAGTTTACAAAAAAACTACCATAATTAATTTGAATTCTAATTGCCGTTTGGCAAGGATTTCCTAGCTGTGACGCATGCTTATCAGCTGATTATGTGTGCGTGTATGCTTTAATCTTATTGGCTAAGAAAGGTGAAGCAAACTGGCGTTAAAATGGCCTCTTTTTTGAGTGTTCATTGCTTACACGAAACAAAAATTTGTTACAATTTACCTAATAAGTGGCTATCATGGTAGTGGTAATAAATGTTACTAATAGCGACGGAGTTGCGGTAACTATGGGAAGATAATAAAGCTATTTAATAACAATCGCAGCAAATTATACTGATATTGTCTCTTCTCCTATCCAGATTGGAATAAGTTATTGCGCAAATATGTGAAAAAAGGCATTACGTAAGAGTGACGAAAAGAAGAATTCTAGGCGTTGTTGCGTCGCTTATAAATACTTCAAAAAAACGATATTTTTAGGTGTGGGATTCAATCATGATTGAATGGGTTTCACTTTAGCTAGACAAAATAGCAAGGTTGATGGGTTTCAACGAGTCGTGGAGTAAGAAGTCATTTGTTTCAGTCGCATCTTCAAATTTATGCATTATCCCAACATCAAATTGGAAAAAGTCGAGAGGGGAGGGGGACAGAAGAGTGTTTCAAAGATGTAAGAGACAAACGCAAAGGTAGAACAAAGGTGAGGTGAATACTGTGGAAATAGCCGAATATGGCATAGAGTGAGGTGATGGTAGTTTGAAGTGAGAAGTCAACTGCCAGTCAATAGACCTTTTTCCCGTATGAATATGCGTTGCCCAGGGTGCACCACGTGGAGGTAAGTCTATCGCACACCCCGCAAATCAAATATCAAGGGGCTGAACCCGTATATCCTGGTTGCTTTCATTAACCACCAACAACCTCGTGGTCCTTCCTCTAATTACAGATCACAAAATGAGTCGGAATCGCGTGAACTCTCTTGCACTCTTGCACTCTTCTCTTTCAACCCAGAACTTAAGAGTTTTGGTTAAAGTAGACAAAGTGAATTGCAATTTATGGAGGTATTTACCTTGAAAACAGAAATAGTATCTCTGCTTAGGATAGTTAAAATGCGAAATCAATCGTTTGTTCTAGGCCCTTAACCATTTATTTGAAGTTGAAGTATCAAGACATAATAGTTATTTTTATTGTTACAATTATTTATTATTCATTGTTACTATACGACGAATTCGATGTGAAAGCCTGAAAGTCTATTAACTGACAGTTGACTTCTGACTTTAAACTACCATGACCCCCCCCCCTGTATGTCATATTCGACCACTTCCACAGTACTCATCTTACCTTTTTCACTACCTTTGTGTCTGTCTCTATGTTTCTTTTACGTCTGTGAATCACGCTTCTGTTCTCCACCCCTCGACTTTCTGCTACCTTGATGAACCTTCCCTCTGTGATGCTCGAAGTCAGCTAAATGGCTGACGTTAACTATCAAAACGCCTGCCATTTTTAATAAACAAATACAATGCATATTTGTACTTCCTGCAGCACTAGGGGAACGGTAATTATTACTATCGCCTCGGGCGAAATAATTGAGAGTTCTATCGCTTATTGCAACAATTTAAGAGATCATGTTTTCTCAATACCTGTACTTTAAAAGTACAGTGTTCTGTTGGGTTGGAAGACAAGTAAAACATGTCCACTTTCTGAAAATAATTGCCTCAATCCATTTGGAATGGTGTGGAGTAATAATTTCAATTTAAAAAATGCTGTTGGATATGACTAACAGGAGGCCAACAAATTTCTTCCAAAGGTTTATTTATTTATTTATATCAAATGGCAGGCGTCTTGATGGTTATCATTAGCCCTTTAGTTGACTTCAGGCTTCACAGAGGGGAAGGAACATCAAATTGAAAAAAGTCGAGAGAGGAGGGGGACAGAAGAGTGTTTCAAAGATGTAAGAGACAAACACAAAAG